GCGATTCCAGGAGGAAACCTCACACGCATCAAATGTTAACCTTCCCCAGTTAGTAATCAAAGCTTTAGACTGTGAACATTATGCTGCTTATCTTGAGCACGAGCTACTGATGACCATTTACCTGAGTCTGGACCGTGTGATAGCTTTGTCATGGATGACCAAAGAGCGTGGGGAGGAAGGGGAGGAGGAGGCTGTTGTTCGTATGTGTTTCTCATTCCCACACTGTCCACCCACAAGAATTACAAACTGTGAGCGTGGTAAAACCAAAGCAGATGATCAGCAGAGGGTGAGGGGATGTGCTGTCAGTCACCACCATCAGCATCAGTCCCCTCTGCGCTGCTGCAATGGCACTTAGAGGTGTGTTCAGGTAGCAAACCACTGACGCTATGGAACCCAGTGACTAAGGAATCTGGATCCACTTTGCACCTGCTTTTGAGCCTGACTGCTGTTTGTATGATCAGAACTTCTGTAGTGTTTAAAGTTCTGTATAAAACATACTGGATTGATGCCAGTATAATTAAAGTAGGGTCCAGTGTGCATGCGGTTCCCCAAGCATCAGTATGCCTTAAGTTTCTCTTGTCATGACAAGTTACTATAGCAAGCTTTATTGAGAGAACCTCCTTTATTTCAGCATGGAGGAGTTTACAGTAAGGCTTTCCCAGCTGAAATGTTTCAGCTGAAAAATAATGTGAAAAATGGTGTATTGAATGTAAAAACCGACTGGTGTTGTTTCCAGGTAAAATCTGGATTGTGTGTGATCTTGTAAAACAGCCTTAGGGATTTAGCATTAGTGTTACATAGATGGTAGCTTTCCCCAGCCGTCTGTTTTTTTGACTTAGTGGTTATGTGTATCTTGTGGGTTCTCTCAAATGATTTCTGCTTGGAAACACTGAGTCCATGATGCAGTGGTTCGTAGCATAAGAGTCCACTGTAAAATAATATGGAGGGGAAAAAAAAAGTTTAGAATATGTGGAACTGACTGCCAGTCAAGAAGTTCCCTGCTCAAAATGGGAAATGTTCTGTACTACCTGTGGAAGTGCTTGGGAAGATGTTTTAAAGGACAGGGAGTTTGTTACTTGAGGATAACATGGCACTGAAAGCTCTGTAATAGCAAAATTTCTGTTGGTGGAAAATATTCCCTTGCTTACTTAATGTGGTTCCTCAAGGAGGATTCTGGGAAGTATGTTGTTCTGACTGCTGTGATTTTACCTTAAGTGGTTGATTCCTCAGATGTGGATGGCAAGTGTGGAAAGCTCAGGCTGAAGGACATTTTGCATCCAAAGCAAAAGCCTTGGAGGTCTGAGATCTCCCTGACTCCTTAGCTCTCAGTGAGTGCTTAGACTCTCTGGTTTAGACTCTCATGAAAGGGAAATTCATTCTAGCAGTCACAGGTTGCACAGGAACCCACAGGCATTTAACTGGGCTTTTATTGCACTGGGTGGCACCCTTTCTTGTTTCTTCGGCAGAAAGAAGAAATGAAAAATTCTCCTTGTAGAACTAACTGTGCTGTCTGAATTGTTTGGACTGTGTTCAGAGTCACACTTCCACAAGTCACTGCTTGAGTCTTCCAGCCAGCATCCATGGGAGTGCTGCTAGTCTTCACATGCTGTGCCTATTCCAGCCAAGATTATATCAGCCCTGGGAGGACTATTCAGCAAAGAGCAGTAGATGTCAATGGCTGGAAATGTCCTCTTTAGGCTGAGGCACTGTCTGTGTCAGGAAAATTTTGTTACCTTTTCCATTTAGAGCACTAAGGACAAATATTAAATAGTATAAGGTAAGAATAAAAAGTGTACGGAACATCTTTTATGATGGGATAGCAGGGGAATAAGCTCTGGGGAATGAACCCTGTGTCCTTTATTTGTAGAAACAATGACAAACTAAAAAAAGAAAACTCTCTATGCTGAGTTTGATGCATTTGTCCTTTGGTCACTCGGACAAGGGCAGAAAATGCCAACACAGTTTCAGGCCAGTATCTGGAGGATACTTAAAATTTTGTTCTAGATTTGGATGGCACACCTCCACCCCTCCATCTCTGCCCACATTGTGCAGGGGTGTCCCCTTGGGTCCCACCTTGCTGCCGCACTCCAGCACAGTTCCCAGGTACCAAATGATGTTATTTTGTATTGGTAGCTTTTAGCTATTCCCGAATGAAAATGCCAGTGAGATTCTTCAGCGGCTGCATTGACACAGCAAGCCAGTGAAGAATGCCCCTACTGCCACAGCAAGGGCCTGCCCACTGGGGGGGAGGGAGCATCTGTGAACACAGCTGGGAAAAGTAGAGAAACAAGATTAAAGCTTCATTAGTAATAACAAGCAATGCCAGGACCTTTGAAACAGGTTCATATAGCACTACACTCATGGATTTCAACGTGTGCAGCAGCATTTTTTTAATAATCATCCAAACTGGTTTACATGATCACCTTTTGACTCCACACATTCAGAACGACATTTTTTTTTTCTTTTTTTCTTCTTTTTTTTTTTTTTTTTGTTTTTTTTTTTTGTTTTGGACAATGTATATACATATGTACAAAAAAAATCTATGCCTACAACATTTTTTTTTTTTTTATTTTTTTTTTTGCTTTTATTTTTTTTACAATTTCATGTGATTTACAAAACAGGACAGCAAAATAACTTATAAAGGATACGAATACTGTACAAAAATAAAACTGATTAAACTGCTGGAGGTTGGTATTTTACAGTGTTACAGATCATGAATCTGTAAAACAGCATTTTGAAGAACAAGTCCAGTCTGGTGTGTGCTGGACTAAGTCCATCTGCAAACTGAAAACAGATCTGTAATAACGGTCATGAAAAACTGTTTCAAAAAATGAAATATGTTGACAAATGTATAGCTATACCTTTAAAGCCACGACTTCTCTATAGTAATGGGCTTTCTTAACCAAGGAGAGGAGCTGTCCTAACTTCAGCACTATTAATTATTTCCAAAATAGTACAATAAGTACGAATGGTATCAGAGAACTTGATTTTCCTTTTCTTTCAAACATCGCAACACTCTTCAAAACCTAACTTCAAGATGCAGAAAACTAACCTGGAGTTTGTTCATGTGTTAGATCCGTTCTTTGTCTTTACTAGAAGATCAACTAAAAACCCTAATGAACAACATGATAAAATGATAAAATTCCCTACACCTGATTATTCCCCATGTCCTCTGCTAGTGATTAATGAATCATGTTAATGCTGTCTATCCTATGCTGAAATACAGGATGTATTAGAGCAAATTTGTTACTGTTTCAGGTTTTGTTTCTTTTTTCAGAAACAGGTTGTTGTCACCAGTGATAACAACCTAAATCTGTTTTCCCCTTCTTCTGTGGACCTAAGTAACTTTCCCTCCCCCATTAATTCTTTTAGAAGTGGAAGAAATAATGATGACATTTCCTTAAATGTGCATTCTACCCCAAATATTGAAGCTGGGACCATGAATCTGGCCATTTGCTTTCATGTGTAGGTAACTAAGTGACCAAAACATTTGCATATTGGTTTAGGAGCTGCTTATCAGATGTGACTTCCCATTGTGGTTGACAGCGAGTGAGGGTGTTGTGCACTTCACAGGACCAGGCCTTAACATTCTAAGTACTGCATTTGTCCTACAAAACTGCAGCAACCCAGGCTGTGGGGCAGACTCGAAAGCTTACTATGATCTTCACAGAGAAGACAGAAGATGAATGGGCATGCTCCACTGAATCTCACTGGGTGACGCGTGGCCCTGACACCACTCAACAAGGCAGCGTTAACAGTATTGGTAAGCAGAATGATTTCTGTATTCCTAGATCACTAGAAATACCGAGGCTACCTCTTTTTGTTAGGAGATCCTACAACTCAATTTGGACACCAGAAATTAAAGTTTGGTTTCTAAAATAAATGTTTCACAAAGCTGAAACGGAGGTAGAAAGTGTGCTTGGTTTCCTGATGTCTTCACTGAAGAAAACACATCCCTTTTACTCCACAGGCTGCTCAGTATCCCTAATGCCTTAAAAGCAGTTCTCTTCACATAGACGGAATTTATCAAGAACTACACAGGTAAAAACACTATATGCAAACTGATTTCTAATGCTGAAAGCCTTATACAACTGTAGAAGAAAATACTCTACTCTCTGAGTTCATTTCTTAACATTTGTTTCTAGGAAGCAAGCTTTTTATCAGGTAAAACAATAAGATACTGTAGCTGCAGGTGAACTAACAAGATCTTTATGTACAGAATTTTACAGGATGACCTAAATTCATCTGCAGTGGAAACACTTCAGATTTCAGTGTGATTACTCCCGAGATGAATTGGGCCCTAAGTCTCTATAGCAGGGCTGCACCTCCCCTTCCTCTTCTGGAGGAAGGAGTAAAAACAGAACAGAAAAAGAATGATTCTGGAAGAAATAATGTGTAAACATAATTCTCCCCCCTACAAGTAGCTGGGGAGGGGGAAAAAAATAACCTTGTATGGTTCATGTTTTCAACATAAAGAAGATGAAATGCACAGAAAATTATCATGATTTGAAAGTTTCTGTTCAGTGATCATTTTATTCCTCGAAGAGAGGAAAAAGTAGCTCTAAATTTAAAGTAATATTGCCTTGATCAGTATTGGATGTGTCACATACGACACAGGTACGATTGCATGGTACCCAGGGAAGCTGATGCCAGAAGGAATATCAGGGCACATCTTCTGCGTTGTATTTCCAATTAGCTCATGGTTTTCCCTCATACTCTACAGAAACAGCAATCAAGAGATACAGGAGCCCTTTTGAAGCGCTCTTTACAATAAATTTAGCTGTTTCCATCAGCAGAGTGCTCTTAAGGAAAGGTCTACTCTCTCCATAAGCACACGGAACTCCCATTGGACATGGTAGGAGTTAGGCACGTGTATGAAGAGAATAAATCTTTAAGGCAAGTGTATGAAGAGAAAGAGCCTGTAAAAAAGCAGCAGTTTATAAAGATGGTAGCTGCTGTTATGCATCCATTCAAAGAAAACACAGCAGAATAAAGCACTGTTAGTGGCATTTCTATAGTACAGTACTGTATTTATTGACAAATGAAAAGATAGATCAATTGAGAGACGTATGTTTCTGCCCTCATCCTCCCCGCCACATTATGTAGGCTGACTTGTATTTTTCCAGGTAAACGAATAACAGAGCTAAATACACATATGGTCAGAAAATGACTGAGTTGTTGTGTTGGTGTTTTTTGCTGTAAGTATCTGCTTGAATTACACGTTTTTACTGGAAAAGTGCAGCTTATATTCAAAAGTATAGTTAATACAAAGAAAAATTAAAAAGACCCAGTTAGTTTCACAGGTCTTCTTGAGTATAAATTCACCTTATTTCAGAATATCAATTGGATGCTATTAGTAACACATGTAATGTTTCTCTTAACAGTCTTTTAAAATGAAGTATCGTTCTGAGATAGAAGTAAACCCACTTCTACAATGTGCTATGGAGTTTATATCTGAGAATTACTTATGTGACTCGGAAAGTGGTTTTACTTGACAGACTCTAAACACAAGCAGCATTACATTGTTCAACAAAACATGTTCATGACACAGCAATCACAAAGACCTCGGAGTCACGCTACTGTGGTATCACTGGCCGGACCGTCCCGCAGGACATACGTGTGCCAGTCCGAACGCGACAGACTGGGGAAGGTGGTGGTGCCATCCTTCCCTCTTGCCGCTATCCCCTTCATCAAGATGGCTGTTGCCAGCCAGCACTGGAGAGCAGGAGCTGAGCACGCCGAGTGCTTAGGTTTTGGACATCAGCTACATGTGCTTCCTGATGGTGAGCGGGGCCTCCTCTGCCACTGCTCTCCGGGCCACAGCTGTGGCTCTTGCACCCCGCTCCCTTTCCTGGGCCAGCTCTGCCTTCACAAGGAACCAGAGCTGGACTTTTTGGATCGCTTGATCATGCTGGGGTGGAACTCAGTGTGGCGGCGAGCGTGCTTCGTCAGGTGGTCGCTCCGCATGAACCGCTTCTCGCAGAGAGGGCACCGAAACTGCTTCTCACCGGTGTGGGTGCGGTAGTGCCGGGTGAGCTCGTCGGAGCGGGAGAACTTTTTAAGGCAGTCAGGCCATGTGCAGGGGAACGGCCGCTCGCCTGTAGGGAGAAAAGCATGACAAAGTGTTCAAGCAGCAGGGGGACTGCAGGCAGCACTGACCGGAGGGATGTGGCCTTTGCTTCCCATCAGGGCGCACATTCCAGCTGAGCTGCTGACGATTCACTCAGTCAGGTGTTGCTCTCACCGCCCACATGAGCCAAAACCCCTCTAACGGCATGCAGCTCGAGCTCCAGTGCAGAGCCTTACATGACCCCACAGACTGTCATAACAACAGATGAGACCTGCCTACGCCTCTGTGTTCCTTATGTCGAGTGCACTACAACGGTTTGAGAGGGGAATGCTGGTATTGCTCCTCTGGTACTTCCATTCTGCTGAACAGAACCATCTGTAACTATTAGAAAAGCAGCCAAAGAAAATCCTTCACCTGCAATTCCTGCTTAGGAAGGACTGAGCAGGGAGGGAACTGGAAGAGCACTGCAGCCTCAGGGCTGAAAATCTGCAGAGCAGAAACCATGATGCCTGCCAGTGGAAGGCTTCTGCCCCCTCACCTCCCTTCCCCCAGAAGTTTGAGATGTTCCAGCAGGCAATGTTCTCCCCTCTGTCTTTTAAATGTTCAATCTGCAGGCAGGACTATTTTGTTATCACAGCTCTACTGGTATGAATGTTTGCAGCAGTGGCAAAGAACCAAACCAAACACCTTAACCTAGAACATACTGCACCTTTGTTTTAAAAGCAAGGTTGAGAGGAGTGAACAATACCTACTGTCACCTTCCAGACACTCCCGATTCCTGCGGTTCAGCCCTGCAGGCTGCCTGGACCTTGCACAAATGTCTTTGCAAAGCTGACTATTCCGTGACACAAAAGGAAATAAAAAACGTTTAGGCTTGCACAAAAGCTTTCAGTCACATACATCATGTACCAGAGCTGTTTGATGCCTTAATTCCTTTTCTTAAGAATCTCTTGAAGGGAATAAAAATGACAGCTATGTGACAGCTATTTATAGTCAACCATGAAATATAAAAACTGTCCCAGGAGTTTTCCATCTTGGAAGAATTGGAAAGAAATTTGAAGAACTCCAGTATTTCTTGGTCTGTGCAGTTCGGCACAAAACATGAACTCCCTTTACATTTGTAGATTGCGAGAAAAAGAGTCCTTTACAAGAGCGTGCGCCCTTGAGAATTCCCCAGCCACATCAGCTGAGAACAAAGACTGAAGACCAGCATGGATAATGCAGCAGGAAGGAGGACAGCCAGGAGTGAAACGCTGAGGTCCTGGGAGGAGAATGGAGTGTGGTGAGGGGCCAGGGCAATGGCCCTTGGCATCCCAAGGATGCCATGGTGAGGAGACATTTGACAATGGATCAGGTAAGCTGAGATTCTGGAGACAAACGGGCTCTAGGTGGAAGTCTCTTAAATAATACTGATGCTGCAATGGTTCAGCATTCTACTTACATGGTGCTACCTGCTGCGCAGACTGCTCTGAGCCTGGCTGATCAGTGTTTGGTACATCATAGTGGAAGAGATGGAGCCCCAAGCCACCCTGGCCTGCAGGGCTTTCTTACAGACCTCTCATCTCCCTGCTGTGCTCCTTTCAACACGGTTGGAAGCCCTCCTGAACAACCACTGCCTGTGTAAAAGATATTAACTTAAAGCTGTGTGTTCACCCACACGTGTCAAGGCCTTGGCTGCAGCTACAAGTCAGTGTGGCACCAGCAGGCACCGCACAATAGGGTCACGGATCTTGTCTGCCCATGTTCTGCCCATTGCCCACACTCAGCATCCTGTGCATTTCAGTGGTACTACTCTTCCTGCATGCATGGAGGCATCTCGTATATGGCCAGGGCATCAGAGGCAACTCAGCATCCCAGTCCTTACTGGAAGATGCATTCCCATCATCTGCCTCAGGACAGCCCTTCAGCCTGACAAGTGCCTGATTTGCTATAGAGATCAAGCACCTAGCCCGTGGGCCATGGTCTCCGGGGCCCAGGCTTCTACTGTCTAGGTGTGGTAGTATCCAAACTGGTTGCTTATAGCAGTGTTTAATTTTTGGTGCTTGCAGAAGTTAAGAAAAAACACAACCTGTTTTCTGGTTCCTTCTGGAATGTGATGGGACTGGTGTGACCACCATCGCTGCCCTGCAAAGCCATTTTGCCTGCTGTGGGTGCAAGGGGTCCATGAGTCTCTGGGAAGAGGCAGCACTGACCTGGGATCCCTCATACCAGTTCACAGCATTGCAATGTCCAGGCACAAACATCACCCCCTAGGGAAGGGAGGAAAGAAAATCTTCCCTGCAGAAGCACCCACCCTTGGGCTGGGAGCAGAGGCAGGAAGGCCATGGGGGCCTGGTGTGGTGGAGTCATGCCCTGGGCTCAGGGCACTGACAGACACAGACTGTGGTGATTCCTGAAGCATGGAGCTGGGGCCCGGTGCAGGCCATCTCCTGCCACCCACCAGAGTGCAACAGCAGGAAAGGGTTTCCTCACTTGGGCGGTGCAAGCTCTAGGAGACTGTCACAACTGCTTCAGAAACGCATGTGTAAAAGTAGGCCAGGCATAATCCGCGACACAAGGAAGTGTTGGAACTCCACAAGCAGAGAGACAAGGGGGAGGGAGACTTCTCTGGGCACTGAGTGTTTGTCTCTGAGCCTGGAGACCTGCTGCTCCCCTCAGTTACGGAGCCATCACCAATTACGTGAACCCAGAACGACAGCACTTCACCGACTGTCTGAAGCAGCACAGCAGCGGACCATGCACTGAGAGGCTCTCAAGGCAAGGCAGAGATGCCTGATGACAGGTGATGGCTGTGCGCTCTGCAGAGCCGAACCCTGCAGTTGCTGGCTGAGTTTTGGCATGCTGATTCCTAGAGCAGCAGAGGCGTTGCAAAGGTGGGCAGGCCACAGCACAGCTGCAATGCTGCTCAAGCTGCCTCCACCCAGAGGCATCCATTTTGGTTTCATGTCTAATCCTGAGGTACTTTTTTCCATATGATTTTTCCCCACCGGTTGTGAGAGCAGTACGGCTAGGGCATGAACAGAACAAACTACTAAAACAGGGTGTTGTTATGCACGGCTGCCTTTGGTGGCAGTATGCTACTTACATTTCTAAAACATGCCTGATGTCGGGTTTCTGCCAATCATGAAGGGAGGGCCAATGGTGTGCTGCATTACCTTAAAACTATGTGTGATAGACTCTGCCCAAATATACAAAGGTGTAAATAATTCTCTTCAATAGAAATATCCAGGTTACACAAGTAACCACAGAAGTAAGAGCTGAAAGAAACTGGTTTACAGATAACAGGAATGGGTTAATCTACAGAGTTCCCATTCTTTATCTGGTTTGCCACCAGAGGTGCAGTAGGAGGCACAGTTTAAGACAAAGTGGCATAACTATGCAACCTAATGTTGGTTCTTCAGGGACCTTCTCTGCTCCTGCAACCCTGGCTTGCTTTGAATCTCCTATAGATTCAAAGACCACTGTAGATCCTCTCAAGCTCTGCTCCTCTTGTTTTACCTGACCTTCTATCCCTGTTTCTCCTCCCCACCCTCCACTGCAAGTAGCTTATTTCTTCTTTCCCTGAGAGTTCAAACTCTAAATCCTGGTTGCTTTGTACAACCTGAGGCAGCTACACATCATTTTGTTTTGATTTTATTCTGACTAGACTGAAAGTAGCTTTTCGCCCTACCATGATATTTTCCTGATTTTCCCATGTGGTATTCTTGTGTAGCAAGGGTTTCTGGGAGAAAATATGTATATATACAGAGAGAGAGAGAGAGAGAGACAGAGAGTGGGCTTTAGCAGTCTCGTTAATAGTGCAGGTAGTTCTGAGATCCTGATTTCTCATCTGCCTTCTCACTGTGAAATGCTGTGTTAGACTTGGATGACCAAGGTTCGGATCTGCAGCTCATGCGAGCTTTAGAAAAGATGACTTTATTCAGACAAGCAACAGATAGGCGTATAGTTTTCCCATACAGGAGAAGAAAAAAAAAAACATGTTTGGAACAGCTGAAGATAAAACTAACACTTCTACATTTATCTTTAACAGGGCATGCACGGGTACTGGAACAAATAGAGCTTCTGTGATGAGCTAATAATTTTAAGTGAATTACAAAAATTGCTTGAGCATTGACTTCACAAAAGACATTCAGAGATGTCTGTTGTTGTGGAAGACAGTCTAACCAAGATGGTTGCTTTGCTAGTCTTGTACTATTTTTCTGGCTGACGGAAGTGAAGTTGGACACCAGGATCTGTGGTAACACAGGATAGATTGCCATCAAGGCTAACGATACTAAGTCAAATGGATTGTAGCTACAGCTGCATGAATGGACATCCCTGACAAACCTGCATATTAAAGAAAAGACCACCAGGCACACAGTAGAACGATTCTGCCAGATATTCATAGCAGCAACTAATGAAGTATTACGCATCAAAACTGAAGAATCACTCCAAGTTTGACTTCTGGAACATAGCACCCGTGCTTGACTCTCACTTTGTCTCTGGCTGTGAACATGGCACAGCTAGTCACCATCTTCTGCTGCAGCAACATCCATCTCTGCTCATAGCACCACCTGAAAAACCAGGTGTACTGCACAAGAGCAGGTTGTGCATTTCTAACCCATTCCATCAAAGATGAGATGATGAGAGGAAAGATGGAAAAGAGAAAGCACAGAAACAAGGAAAGCTCAAAGAGTAAAATCTTTTGCCACAAGGAAAGGGAAAACTACCTTAGGAAAACAAGTCTAATACCACTAATAACAGGTCTGTGGGAAGGCAGAAGAAAAATAGGGGAAAAAAAGCATGTCCATAGCTTCAATGTGCATAATCAACTGTGGATGGTTCAAATAAGAAAATGTAATTCCTGCCTGCATCTTATAAGATCCTCCAGAATCTTTGAGGCTGTGGAGCTCAAACTTTCCCAGAAAATCACGGTACCCGGAGAAGACCTGCTCCTGAACAATAGTTCCTTGGCTTAGATACAACAATTATAACCTTTTCTGTTTTTCCCATACTTTCCTGCGAACCCACTCAGCTGCCACTCCTGAG